GCAGGATGCAGACTCGTCTGGAGCTGAAGAAAGTGGTGATGATGAGGATGCTACGGATGAGGCGTCCGATGGGGAATTCGATTCCCTCCAGGCTTTGGGTCTGTGCGAATCTGATGTGACATCAGTCCCCTTGAAGCATGTATTATGAGCATAATTACTTAGACATATATGATACCCCGACACGCCTATGTCAAGCAAGGCTGTCCCATCCCCGAGCTCCACAGTTACCATGTCGGCTGCCAGCTCTGCAAGCTCTCGTGTGGAGAGGCTTGTTAGCATTGAAATACGTATCGCTACTCAAACATCAAAAAATATCGGCAAGCTCTAGAGCCCAGGAGCCTCGTGATGAAGTACCGCAAGCTCTCCGTGGCCTCGCCCTCCTCAGTGGCATCCAAGACGATGGCTGTAGATGATGGGGCTATTTCGGAAGTTTCCACTGCAGTGAGTTCGAATGATGGTGCTGTAGGGGCTGCAAAGGTTGAGAAGCTTAATGCTATCTTCTTACGGCTGAAGCAGCAAAGCTTGAAGAAGACCCCGGACCAGATGCGCAACACCTTTGTGGTCCCACCAGCGGTGCTCTGTCATGCAAGGACTGCCTCTATTTATAACTGCTGTTATGCCTATATTGCCTATATAGTTGACATGCTACTTGCTCCATTACGACCGCATGGCGATCTCAACCATAGACCCGGAACCTGGCTTCCCCCCAACCGCACACAACATCCAAGGTGCTGAGCAGCATCCAGGACATGTCCAAGAGCTTGGCCCCCGAGCCATTCCTGCCGAGTTCCCAGCCGCTTGGATTTGCAAACCGGACAGAACAGGGCTTTAGACCAACAGACCCGAAGCTCGAATTACTTTACATAGTGAGACTTTAGTCTTTGGTTTGGTGTTTCGGGTATTCCGATCGTCGTATACACTTCGGGCTGTGAACTCAACATACTCAAGGTGGAAGGGGGAGTACGAGAGCGATCATGAAGATGTGGAGCAGGAGGATTGCGAGCCGATTCAGGATGCTGAGCCTAAGGCAACAGCCAAGGCTATGGCTAAAAGGAAGGCCATGGCTGTCCGGGATGCTGCTGCCCCACCTAAAGTGAGGATCGAGGTTGATGCTCCGCATGGGGATTGCGATTATGTGCCCGGCGAGTTTCGGAAGAGGAAGAAAGCCTATTGTCGGGAGTGCACGGAGGAGGGGTACCTGAATTATTGGGAAGCCCTTCAGGCTTGGAACTTCAGTGATGAGAGGGCGCAGTTGTTGAGCAACCTTTCGCCCAGCGAGCTCAGTCGCCGAAGGTTCGACTGATGATGTGTGTTCGGAAAGCTAATTAGATGACCCTGGCCCAAGGGTATGGCTGGGTTCTGTGATCAATCGTGGTCCGACCGATTGTCGGATGTATGAGTGTGGCCTGTCCCATGACACCAAGCTCTTTCTTAATTTTCTGTACAGTGCCTGTTTATATGGCCTGCATCCAATACTGGTTGCCTACGTGTGCTTCATACGTGCAACTTCGCATGTCTGCCCGGCATTAAACCGATCAAGTGGGCCCTTTGTTTTGCAATCCTGCTGGTGATGTGAGTGCAGCCGTTCATGCTGATGTGTGGTGTTCGTTTTGCATGCTGGCATGTCGTGGCCGACACAGGTTTCAGGTGTTGTGCCCTAGTTTTTTAGTTCGGGATATGGTGGTTGCGGAACTTTTGCGATGGGGAGCCCCCTTGGGGCTCTGCTTGGCCAATCTTTTGCTGGCCTTCAATTCGGACATTCACCAGAAGGAGGCTAGGGCGGGCTGAGGGTTTTCTGTGTAGTAGTCTTTACAAACGCAGGCCTCTTTAAGAAAACACCAAAGACCTAGGGCTGGATGCATTGCTGTTCTAGATCTGAATTTGCCAACTTAAATGCCCCTGAACCCATTAATGGTATGAATCCTCCTGCAGGTGAACGACTTTGTCGAATTGTTCGCTGGCCAGGGACATGTCACAGGAGCTTTACGTGATGAGCTTTGCCTGCACGTATTTGATGTACGGAGGACCAGTGTAGTTAGAGTTAGAATGCAAGTCGGTTGATTGTCGAGGATGGTAATGTTGGAGTCGCCTTGGACCTGCTCCAGAACCCTATTGCACTTGATATGACTACCGATGGTGGCTTCGCTGCTGCTCTGAATGAAGTTCGTCGGCTGAAGCGCGGTGGTGTGTGCATCGTTGGGCTCTGCTGCAACAGCTACTCTGGAATGCTGCTAGTCTTGCATGCAATACTGGGAGTGATGGTGGATGTAACTTCTACATGATGCATGAGCATTTCTTTGCAAAGGTCCCGCGCCACATCAGGACGAAGCATCATCAAGCCCATGGGCAACAGTGGGTACAAGTTTGTGGCAGATGGCAATTTGCTGTTGGCGAGAGTTGTACTGCTGTTGCTTGTAGTGTCAATGAAGGGATGTCGCTGGCTGTTAGAACAGCCAGCTGGTTCTTGTCTGGACGACATGCCCTGCTTTGAGTGGCTTCTGAACCGAGTTCGGGCAACCTGTATTCCATTAATAAAGACGAGTGTTGTTGTGCAGAGTTTGGGGGTGCTACCTTCCCAGAGCACTAGGAATAGATTCTGCTTGCCTAGGTATTCAAGGGCTTCTGGTACATGGCGAACTACGGGCAGGCTTCTGCCAAAAGGCATGTGGCCTGGAGCAACGATGCTGACTTCATCGAAGGCATTGTTCGTCATGGCGGATTCCTGTCTGTGGCCGATCGCCAAGCTTTTCAATTGTCGAAACTGGCACACCATTACTACGATGCGAAAGTCGGCAAGATTCGCTACACTGGTAAGTCGCTGTTGCTTCCTGCCTCTGGGTGTCCTAGCTGTCCTAGCCGCCTGTATAAGTTCGAAGCTGTGCACAGTGTAGGTTTGCGTTTCTCTCTTTCGGTTAACAACATATATGCCCCTATATCTGACCCACAATCTCAGGAAGTACCCTGCGAAATTTGGGGAGAAGATTGCCGAACTTTTTCGGTACAGTGGTGATGCGGCAGCTAGAGCTATACAGTGCAGTAAAGCCTGTTGTGTCAGTTTTCATGTGTTTGCTGCAATCCTGGTTCCGGGGCTGCTTGAAAGCGACAACTGAGGCAAAGCTCCATGGCCCCAAAATGGCTTGTGACGTGGATTGGATGAAAAGCGACTACGAGCTTGTGAAGGGCCTGCTGCCTGACAACGTACAGCTCGAAAGCTTCGGGGATTTAGCTCAGGAGGTGCCTTAGTGGGAATGTTTCTTGCCGTAATGTCGACATCTGCGGTGGCACAAACAACATGTGCAAACCCGAGCATGCAAGGCTAGACTCCCTAGTGCACCCTGCAACCCTTGCAAACCCTACGCCCAGAATGTCCGATACATTGTTGACAGGCCCAGCTACCTTCCCTCATCTGCTACCTGGTCTTCTGCAAGCATCTGAAGGCTCCGGGCCAATGGGATTCTCGACTGCAAGATACATATACTAGGTTCCAAGTATGTGTGGTATGAACTCTACGTCAACTAGTTCAAGAATGCTATGTTCGGCATGAACTGCTTGATCGATAAGGTACCTTCATATAAGAGAAGCTGCTGCAGAGGCACTTAGACTGAAGCTATTGGTACACTGTCCTCGGCATTGCATGTTGAAGAGATCGATGTGACGCCAGACAGTGATCGCAGCGACTTGATGAGATCCCCCATAGCCTGGGCTGGGTACGTTTCACTCAGGATTGCATCGTGGATCGGCTTCGGCAGTTGCTTGGTCTGATCGTTATGCTCCAACAATGATACGATGTACACATTTGGATGGCTTGGTTTTTGAGCTCTAAGGTTTTATTTAGACTTGCAGTTCGGAAGCAAAGTTGCAAAGGACTTGTATAAATCTTTACAGAGAATGCAGCTAAATCTTCGCCGGGGACATAGAAATATACTTCACAGATACCCATATGTGCTTATGAGGGAAGGGGTTCGGATTGACCGGGGTAGACACAGACTTAAGTAGTGGTGTGCGCGGGGGCACGGGGATAGATTGGTCTGGTTTCGGCTATTCACCACTTCACTTTATCGGAGCTTTGTTCTGAAGTTACAGGAAGCTTGTTGAACATATATATATATATATATATGTATATATATATATATATATATGTTGCCTATGTATCAGCAGACCTATATGCTAGGGATTTAGCATCATATAATCCCATTGGGGCGGAAAGGTTTCGAGGTTTGTGGCTTGGGGCTTTCTACAATTAGGGGTTGTCTTTATAATTCCTTACATTATTCAGCCGACACTCGAATGTGTACTTCCACACTTCATTCTGGGTTAATTTAATTCCCAAGGTCTAAAGGGGCAACCCCTAGTCTCTGTCCCAGCAAGCAATGTCTATAAGGTTTACAAGGCACTTGGATGTTTCGAGCCTAGAGCATTAATTCTAATTCCCAAAGTAACTATCCAAACGACTTAGTGCACTTTGTAACTGCAGCATAGGGATGAATTCTCTGATATTTGGGTCCTCGGGGTTCACGCCTGCTGAAACAAACCAAACTATCCTGGAGCCTAAAGCCCCCAAGTCGCTATGCAAAGCCAAGCAACATCATCAACCTGAACATATGCAACCTCTAGCTTCCCAGCAATCCTTCGTTCCAGGCAAGCCGAACCAGTAGGTCCCAAATGCACCTCAATCCCAGATGAAATAACTTAACTGCGCTGATGACCCCAAGTCCTGCAGCAGCTTCATATCCAGTCGAAAGCAGCCCTGAAACCCCGAGGCCCGAAACCTAAACCCTTTGTCCCGCCGTGCAACTCGTGCCCGGCTCTGCTGCCGGACTTCACAGAACATGTTTTGAGTGCTGGGGCCACACATGACTTCCGAATCCTACCTTGGGGTCGGGGTCGGGACTTCTCAGGGTTTCTGAACAGCATAGTCTGCTATGTACAAAATACATATATAGGGTTACACTGCTAAGGGCTTGGACAATGCCAATATTTATCAGAATATTGGAATGCATTTGGTGAGTCACTTTTTCTGGGCATCCGGACTTCTGCGGTATAGGTAGGGTATGTAGAGCATGTAGATCTGATCTATGTGCAAGATCGAGCTTTAAAACATTATTTGTTCAGCTAACTCACCTGTAGCATTGGGACCCACTCCCAGTTTAGAACCCTAACAAAGCCGATGGTGGCAGGTCGGCTGCTCGATGGTTGACAACCCAAAAGAAACCCCATTATCTATATTCTTGAAGACAATATATACCGAAATTAGCTTGATTAGTCTTAAGTAAGACACCCAAAACCGAACCATGGATGTGCCCTGGCCGAGCTTGAAGGCTTTTGCAAGCCGAGGCCCGGAAACACCCCCACCAGTCGCAGTGCTGCTCCAAATCCAGCATAGTGATCTTGTAGCCTTAGTTTCCGAGATATTTGCTGATCATGATCAGTCTTGTTCGTTAAGCTCCGAAAAGCCTAAACCGAAAACCGCGCACCACTCAACCCCCAACCCCAAACCCTTAAACCTGACACCCTACACTGTGAAACCCCGAACACCCTGAGCCCATGAACCTGAACTGCCACAACCCTAAAACACCCGAATCCCTGGATTGATGCTAGGCCAATACTTACAAACCCTTTGGAGATTTCCAAGCTTGGCTGTTCGGGTTTTCAAGAGTCTTTGAGTGTTGTGACCTTTTGTTTGGGTTCTCAAGCGACTAAGAAGCATACACATTGGTATGTTGGCATACCAAGGTTTAGAGGCCGAAAATGTGCCGATGATCCTTTAACATGAAAACCAGCAACTGTCGAAGCTCTTCTCACCGACAGGAGCAATATCATGAACTACCCAATATTTAGACTCCAATGGTCATACATCCCACTAGAACAATTCCGACATAGCAATGTCAAATTTTCCGAACACTGTAGGTTAATAGTTTGAAGTCATTCCAGAAACCACTGCTCCTGATCTTGTAAATTGTGGTTTGAAACAGAAATTAGAGGATTCTGGCTATAACCATCTACTCTCGTGTATCCACCTAGACCAATCCGAAACCGTTTGGTACACTAGGTCACTTTAGCTCCTTAAAACCTTTGACCTATCTAGACCTTATTCCCTTCCGAGCTCTATAACACAAGCCCTAAATGTCCCCAACCCCCTTGTGTCCGCCATGGCCCAGGTTCTTCTGGATCGCCAGCCCAGAGCGACTGTCGTCGTTGAAGCGAGCCTGTGCCGACGACAAGCCACACCCGTGCTCCAAGCAGATTCGGTCAGCTTAGTGAGCAGATGCACAGCCCGATGTTCTGAGTTCAATGTGCTAGCTAGACAGGAGCTGACAGGTCTTGTGGCAGTGATAGGTAGTTGTGTTGCTTCCTGTACTTAACTGCAGCTAATAGGGGGAAACTTTGTTTTGGCTGCCTATATGCTTCAGACTAGCATAATTCGTTATGGTCCCGGAGGAACGAAACCGCGTGAAAAGGCCAGGACCCGGCGTGAAATGACCGGGATCCAGCGGGATCCGCGTGAATCTACTTTACTAACTATGATAACAGCCATTTATGGTGCTTAGCTGCTTATCACTGAAGAAAGGCAGTTTCTGCGATAACTGCAAATTGAAGCTACAACTGAACTACCCTAATATTATCGTTCTGAAATGTATGCTTAGGTTGGTTCTTAGGTCACCCACACCAAGTACCCTATGTAGGGATCGTTCTGTTGCTTTTGCAGCAGTACCAAATAAATCGTCATGGTTCTGTGTTTGCAACATCTGACCCAACAAGCTGTCAATCCAGAACAGTCGGTGCCAACCTGTTTGTTATCAACACCGATACAATACACAAGCTCTTGCTAGGCTAGGCGTGTTAGTGCATTGAGTTGTCAAGTCCAATAATCAAAGATCACATGAATCCTAACTAATCGTCGGGAACTAGCAAGGGCTTTAGCACAGCAACCTTAGTTGACATTAGTCGTAGACAAATGGTTTAATATGTTCGAGCGAGGTGGGTAACTCCGAGCGTGTGGATGCTTCTGCTGCTGTTGCACATGTCTGCAAGACAAGAAATACGTCTCTGCTTGGTTGTGTGATACTCAAGGATTTGACAGCCTCCGTTGTCGGGTAGCTTCTGAGTTTCTGTCCTGCTAGCAGCCTAGCGCACAGAACTGTGTAGCATGGCTAAGACGAAGGGTGGTGCTCGGGCGGCCAAGATCGCCAAGACATCCGGCGAGGATGTGATGAAACCTGAGGTTTCGACGGCCTCGGGAAAAAACGATGGCGAGACTTCAGAAGCCTCAACGCATGCCAGCTCGTTCCGGATGGATACGCCTTTGATGGTAGGTGGTGATGTCACCATCGGACAGCTCATGAACGATGAGCAGATTTCCTTCAAAGAAGCTGTTGGTGTTGCCATGCGTCTCCGTGAGGAGACCGAGGCATTCCATGCTACTCATTGGGAAGAGCGTTGCGAGCCTGAGCCTGCACCCAAGCCTGCCAAGGCTAAGGCGGGGCAGAAGGCCCGTGATCCGACTGCAGAGGAACCTGATGTGATCGGTGCCGGTGGCAGTTCAGGGAGTAAGGCCCCGCAGGCTGAAGTTGCTCACCAACCTGCCAAGCGCAAGGCCCCCACAAGCAAAGCCACTGCAAGCGAGGACACAAACACCACAAGAACCGACAACGACACCACCAGCCAGGCCAATGGTGCCAGCAAGAAGGTCGTCGGTAAGAGCAAAGCCAAGGACCCCGCAAGCAAGGGCACAGACACCACGAGCAGAGACAAGGACACCACAAGCAAGGGCACGGACACCACAAGCAAGGACAAGGACACCACAAGCAGGGACAAGGACACCGCAAGCAGGGACAAGGACACCACAAGCAGGGACATGGACACCACAAGCAAGGCGAAGGACGCAGGCAAGCTCAAGCAAGTATCCCCCCGGGTTGTGTCATCTACTGACAAAGCCGCAGCTTCCGAGGCAGATGCTCCCGATCCTAGCCCCCAGCTCTTGGCTTTCTGGGACAAATACAAAGTGTCGAAGAAACCTGTGGAAGAGGCCCCTGTTGCGGAGACCGTTCCCGAACCCTCGGCCGAGGATAGCCAGGAAATGGAGCCCAGGTTGCGACGTGGCCGTGCCACAGCGGACCTCAGTGAGAGCCTGAGTCCCGAGGAGATGCTCCCTCCTGCGGCTGTGCGCCGTGGGTGGCAGCTTGTTTGGCACAATTCAGTTTTCAGGATTTGTCGAAAGGGGGTACACATATGTTCATATACAT